ACGAAGCTGTGGACAAGAGGGGGAAGCGGAGCCTGATCAGCTCCGTGTACCTGCACTGCTCGCAAATTGTGACTCCAATGTTCCTCCGGTTTGCTTTCATGGTGGTTTTGCACGCTATACCCCAAAACAGGTTTCCTTCGCGCTAATTCGATCGGCTACGTATTCAGTAACTAGAATCCGCAGTTGCGCGATTGAAACAACTTTGTTCAAACACCTACAAGTCGGACTCATCACCTTGCCGTTCCTTCGCTCCTTGACACGTGGAACAGAGTTAACTGGAAACCCTATGACTAAGTGTGTGTCCGCAGTCCGCGGGTGACACTTGGTTGGTCGGTTGGTTGGCGCGTGTTGTTTGGCAGGGTTCCTTCTATAGGTTTGTAGTTTTTGACAACTTTGGAAGGTTGCCAAAACTGTTGCTTCCAATTTCAAGCAGAATGACAACCTTCGAAGGTTGTCACAACCGGAATTACATTGTGTTTTGTCGCTAACCCCAAGCAGAGTGACAACGTTGGAAGGTTGTCAAAACCAGAATTACATTGTGTTTGTTGCTACTCCCAAGCAGATCGACAACGTTGGAAGGTTGTCAGAGTGTTTTGCTGGTATTCACAAGCAGAAAGACAACATTGAAAAGTTGGCAGAACCAGAACTACATTGCGTTTTGCTGGTATTCGGAAGCAGAATGACAACATTGGAAGTCATTCGTCTAGGGTTTCGCTATCAAAACATCATTTGCTCAAGATTTCTGGAATCTTGGGCGTTTGGAATATGGTCAACAAAAAGTTGAGCGAATGGCGCCGTGGACATTGCCCAGCAGGCGCGAGACTAACTGGTAACGGCTCCAATGAAGCCTTGCGCCTGATGTGGTTCCGGGTGTTTGGACATCCTCTGATCATCAAAGGAGATGATGACCGGAACTTTTGCAACCTTTTCAATCCTGAAGGCTAAATGGAGGGTGTGTGGAGAGAGGGGGTCAGCAAGAATCGCTTGCGCGAAAAATACATTCCATGAAGTTCTGCGACAGTTTCTGGGATTTTGTTGCAGTCAGTTTTCCTACTGGCCCACCATTCTACGAAAAATAACACAAATTCCACGATGTTAGTAGAACAGGTGTTTGCAAAACTTTTTCTGCGCACTACCCTTCCGTTTGCCTCTGAAAACAACGACTTGAAGAACCTCCTCATCGTCCCAGGTAAGGCAAACTGGCGGATTGGGACTATAAAGAAAAAGACTGCAATCCTCAGGCAAGTCTCTGAATGATTAATTGATGAACGCGGCGCTTGCGCTGGCGATGATTTGGACGACGTCGTGGTTGCACCCCTTCAAGCCCTCACGGCTCAGTGACCAGCAAGGGCAGGGCGCCTCATCAAGCTCTTTCGCGCAAGACTGCCACCTCCAGAGAATAAGCGCAGCCATTCCCACCTACCTGGTGCCATGGCTGCATACTGGCGATGGCGCAAGAGAGGCGGCTACGTCCTATGTCGTCTGCCATCTCCCATCGCGTGACCCTGATGGCATCAATGTCATTTGTGCAGTAAATCCTTTCATCTTACAGCTACAAATGTAGCTCACTGGGCAATGGACTTTGAGGAAATCAATGATGCAGAGCCTTGCCTGCTTGGACAAGCTAGGGAGTGGCCGCCCAGGGAACCATGGCGGATCGAAAGCTCCTCCAATCATATGTCTTCCGACCTGTCCACCTTGCGCGAGCTTCCAAAGATGCATTGATCTGGTGACAAATGCAAAGGCCAAGAGCTCCGGGTCTTCTGTGGCCAATTGCCATGCCTGTACAGCACGTTGGCTGATCCAGGTTGGCATCGAAGGGCCGTGCGTCGGCCGGATCCCTTCGTCCACCAGCCGGCACCCAAAGCCCCACCTGAGAATCATCACTGATTCCTGCAAGGGTTCCAAGCGCGTGGGAGCGCGTGAATCCCAGCACATCGATCGCCGAGATCACTGAAACCACCGTCCTCAGGATTTCAGCCGAGGCGACTTTGGAGATAACCTTCACTGACATGGCAGAAGCGTTGCCGTCAACATTGCGCGGCACTGGCACACCCATCTTCCGAATACGCTCCTCATACTCCGCCTTGTCTTTTTCTGAAAGCAGTTGAATGGGTGCGTCGTATTTCTCACAAGCTGACGCTGTTAGCAAAGTGAGTGCCACCAAATCTTGGTTCCCCGAAGTCCCCTTGAGGACGCTACCCAGAGGGCATGCAGGGCTGGCAGCGCCGAGCCCTCGGTCGAGAGGCGCAGGAGGATGTCTTGTGCGCTGAGGAGTTCGGGTTTGTCCTCATATGCCACCAAAATGGCACGTGACGGAGAGCCGCTGGTGAACCAGGCCAGCTTCAGGTCCTCAGACTGAGGTCTCTTGGGACTCGCTCTGAATGCCGGTTAAGGCATAGCCACTCCCGTTAATGAACTCCATGAGGTCAACGTCATGGAGTAACTCAACATCATCATTGGCTGCGGTAGCCTGCTCAATGGCGGCCGTCGCAGAATCAGTCGGTAGGAGCGCCATCCTCGATGGAGTCACAAGAGCGCTTGACCCCGAAAACGGCTTGAGCCAAAATGGCTACGGCCTCTCCATATGGGGGAGGTTTTACTATTAAATAATCAAGTCTACGATGCTTCGCGGCTCCTACCACCAAATATGTGTCTTTGGGCTCTCAGTTCAATGAGTCAAGCGACTCCCCCACGGGTGAGAAAAAGAACTGAGCCTCCCCACCCCGGCGAGTGCGAGTCTGCGAGCGACCAAAAGCGCCGCTGCTGCTCCTCGCTCAGGTCTTCTAACGCCTGACGGAGGTCGGCGTCCAGCTGACCTCGGCGTCCAGACTTGGTGCCAGGCTGGAGCCGACGCGGTCCGACGCTGGAGCCCAAAAAGACTACTTTTTCAAGACCTGTCCGACGCCCAGCCCTCAGAAACCTCAGACGTTGCAGCTCCAGCGGCGCAGGCTCGTCTGATTCATCAGCTCCTCCAAGTCGCCATCGAAGGACTCCGGCAGCCCCAGGAGCGGCGCCTCGCGCAGGACCAGCTCACCACGACGGATGGGCCGGGCGGCTACCTGGGGCAGGCACAGGGGAACAGGGGCGAACAGCATGACATAGTAGCAAGAAGCCACTAGTAACATGGGATCGCTACTAGGAACAAGGGCATTTAGCTAGAAGCTACTCGGCGTGCTTTCCTTCGGGGCTGGGGGGGCGCCAGGTCGATTTGCATCCCTCAATCGCCTCAATCGCACCCTTTTCGCGGTCCAAGAAGACTGCAAAAGCACTGCGACCACAGGAAAACAACCACCAAAAGCTGCCTCTTTCCAGCCAAAGGATCAACCAACACCACCAACCTCCCCCAAAGCAAACTGGCGACCAAACCCCTCAAAAATGGACTCCCCATGGACTCAAATTCCAATCTGGAACCCATTTGGGGCTTCTTCCTTGAGCTCTTCAGCTCCAGGGGCTCGGCCGACAGGAGCCCCGCAGAGCTGCTCCAAAGCTCGGACAGACCCACGAGGGTGTTCGAAGGCGGACCGAGTGGCCATCCCAAAGCCTTTGTCGCCCAAGTGTTCCACCTCGATCGACTTCCACTGCTCTTCCTTCACGACCTCGTCCACAGCCTCGAGAAACAATCACGGCGGCGCTTTTTGCGGGTTCCGCGTGGCACCCGAATCTACAGCAGTGATGGATCTGAGTCATTTCTTCCAGTGTGCTAAATGACTGCGACAGTCCCATACAGTCCCATAAGTATCTAAGAGGCTGAATGTTTCAATGTTTTTTTCCTGAGGTGCAACCCAGACTCACTCATACTACTGTCACCCCAGATGTCAACCCCCCCGCCTTGGCGGGCACAAAGATCCGCGTGCCACGCGTCGTCACGCGGCCGCGCGGCCGGCCGCCACGCTCTGCAGATGGCTGGTGTGGATGGGGGCTTGTGGGGACCACGAACAACATCGAAGACAAGGTGTGCGACTCCAAAGTTCCATGGGTCAACCACTGGGTCAACTATGCCGCTGCCTTGCTAGGGAAAAGAATGCCTTCAACAACATCTAGGAAGTATGGCTCATAGCAAGACTCTAGCTCTATGCATCGGGTCGTGACCATCGTGACTAAGGGGCTCTAACGAAAAGTGCATGCAGTGAAAACCGACATTCAGACCGGCAAAAGCTCGTTTGGTGTTCATCAACATCCATGGTCCACAAATAGCTTGGCTCCTCGAACGATGCCAGCAGCTCGTGAGAATGTGGCCAGTGCAACACATGCCCTCGTCAATGTGTTTGCCCACTCGCTGGAGAGGGATGCTCGGCCAAAGCCTCCACAGCCAGCACGATGAAGCCTGGTCAAAACATACTTATTTGTATGGAAGTCAGGAGGCTGCTCGGCAGGGGGCTGGAAAGTGTTGGCACTTGACGCAGGTGATCCAAAAGAGACACCGAAGAAAAGGGACTGCCAACTGCCCGGCCTGCCAGTTGTGATGTTTTCTCGTGGAAGATACTTCCCTGCCTCGAGAACTGGCCAAAAAGAAGCTCTGACATCCATGGCGCGAACGATTCGCGCCATCGGGGGGCGGGGCCCCCGTCCGAACCGCCCCGCCCAGCACCGCTGCTTTCACGGGGTGGGCGCGAGCGGACCAGCGTCGAGCCAGAAGTCAAGCAACCGGGTTCAGAGGGTTTCACCATTTCAGATTCCGAACATTTCGGGATGGTTGACCCATTTCTGGAGTGATTTTGGGAAGGAGATGGAAGGAGGATGAGACTCGTGGTTCCAGCGACTTTTCCCTCTGCTCGTCTTCTTGGCTTCACAGCGGGAATCTAGGTCTGGGGTGCCTAGGGATCCAAAGCTCCATCCTAGGTCCTAGGTGACACAGTGCCTCTTGCCAAGACATTGAAAATGGGCGGAAGCTGTTGAGATTGGTGCCACGAACACTTCCGTTAAAATAATGATGAACTCACTAGAATCGACAGGTGAAAAGCAACACCAGCTTTCAGCTGAAATGTCACATCAGACAGTCACCTCCTCCTGTTCGGTGATTTCGATCGGCCCTTGTTGGGCAGTGGAGGTGGTGGCGCTGGGGGGAAGATCTTGGTGTCTTGCAGCTGAGCATAGAACTCTGGCGCGACCATGGATCCGGTGATGCTAATGTCCTCCTAGAAGGAAACAAAGGAGACATGAAAAAGGGTGCCATGGCAAGTGAATCCACAGTGAAACCACCTCCCTGTAGTCAAAACAATTGGACCCTCGCAGCAAGCAGTTTGGAGAAAGTGCAAGTCAAATGTCATTTAGCAAGGGGGAAATCTCAGAACAATCGATTCGATGCTGGAAGTGGAGCGGAGATCAACCCGCCTCGCTTCGACCACACCTCACCAAATGTTCCTTCACAAGGCTGGCGCGCTTCGTTACCATCTCTTGCCACATGCCGGCATCACCCCGTCCCTGCTTGCAACCCACAGTGATTTGCAGGGGTGCATCGAACATCATGACAACTTCCAAGAGATCTGCAAGAACTTTCTCTGCCTCTGTCTCACTTGCAAAGGTCACCTAGGCTGGCCAAGTCACCAAGTGTCTCGAGACCCACTTTCAGCTTACTCCACTATTCACAATGCACCACGGAAACATTCAGTAGTCCTCGGTATGTTGCGACCGCCCCATCACTGGCTGGGACAGCCCAAGGTTACCTAAGGTTCATAGACCACAGCAAGAACCGGCAAAACATGCATTGCGAGTCTCAGGTACCTAGAGACCTGCAAAAATAATTGTCTTTTTTCTGCGAGGGAACGGGGGTTCATGATTTTCGTGCTCCTCCATTGCCACACTGTTGGCCACGAATCGCTTCGGGCAAGTCCCTCCCCTCCTCTGCTTTGCCAAGTCTCGGGGAAGGGGCCTTTCTCTTTGGGCGGCGCAGCCGGTAGGAAGTCCAAGGCCTTTACGGCTGTGATTCTTCCACTTTGACGGTCCACCTGTGCGAATAGAAGAAGCTGGCTTGAAAAAAAGAAGCTTGGCTCCAAGCTTTCAGGTCCTAGGTGTAGATGGTCCATTCCCACATGGCATGGCTGGTACACCTCAAACACGATGATATACGATAATTAGTTTGCTGCGACAAGCACCATGAAGAAGGACCTTTTCAGCCTTTGTCCCTTTTGCGAGATTGGGCAAAAAGTCATAGATTCCAGCCCCCCGGCGACCATCCATACCAGGGGTGTCAAAGGGAGGTCGACCAGGTATTTGGTCCGTCGAACCTTAGTCTCAGTCAAAACAGTCCAGGTTTTGTCCGGGGATTCGCACCTGTTTAAAATGATCTTTAGCTGTCCCTCGGGTCCATTTGTCCCTCCCCTCCTGTTTTAAAATCTACAGCTAGGGTCAAAACCTGGAGCCCCCCAACGCCATGTAGCAACAACCTTCCAGGTCAACCAAGCACCCCCATCCCAAGCACCCAACCAATCGTTGAAGGGCAGACTGGGACACGGAACCAGACGGAGTCCGCAACTGACTCGCCGGTAGGTCAACCAAGGTAGCCAGGTGCCATGACCCACAGATATGTATGAAAACAGGAAACAAACATCCAGCCACCTGCTACCCCTCCTCCAGTGAAGGAAGGGTGCATGGATGGGTGTCCACCCCAAAAAAGGACCGCTGCACGTCCAACAAAAGGCCATGAACAAATGCCCTCCAAGCTGAACCCCTGGTGGAAATAACAAATAATGTGGCTCAAACAGAACAGCTCACTCAAGTCCCAATCCTTTCCTGTGCCACCACCGATTCTTCGGCTCACCTTCACGTTGCCGCGGAGTTCAATGTCGCGCAAGCGCTTCATGCTGTTGAGCATGGAGACCATCTGAGCGTCCTTGAGCTCAGAGCTCACCTGGAGGCGGGTGTCGCTCCGAACATGGAAGTGGATGACATGGCCACTGGAAAGACCATTGTTACCAAACCGGTGGTTTTCCATTTCTATGTTAGCGAGTCAGAGGGTAAAACCCCCCTTTTCACTCCTGAGAAACGCCCTCAAGCAGGTCAGTGCTAGCTGGAACGTAAATATGCTCCACTAACGAAACTCCCAGTGGTCTAAGCGGGAAAAATGGATGGGGAACACACCAACATCAATCAACCCGGTGGCGCCCTACTGTGAAAGGAAGAAGTTCTGCACCACGTCAAATACCAAAATCACGGTATTTACTGAACTGTGAGGTGGTGCAAGATGCCTTTTCGTCAACTGCAGTTACTTTTCCTACCACATGAGCACATGAGTATTGCTCCACCCATATCTGTCTCCTATCATGACTCATATGTGGGATTGCTTGAAAATGCATTGGCTGGCCCTGAACAAAATGCACTTCGGATGTCAACCCACCATGAACCATTGGGGATTTGGGTGCTGACTGTGTGTCCTCCCGGGTGTTGTTTTCTGTGCATCCTTTGAGCCAAACGCACCTGCTCCAACGAAGTTTCTAAGTGTTGCACATCTTCTTTCAAAGCAGCCTGCTGTGAGAGGCATTCCTGGATTTCCAGGGCCAACAGGTAGGGCTTCGTTCATCCGACTTCGCAAACACTGAACCTACCAACAGCCCGACTCCCACACCGAAATGGTGCAAGATGTTGCCAGCATATACATAGATAGGATAGGATAGGATAAATAGGATAGGATAGATAGGATAGATAGATAAGAAAGATAGATAAGAAAGAAAGAAAGAAAGATAGATAGATAGATAGACGGACAGACACAGACACAGACACAGACACAGACACAGACACAGACACAGACACAGA